ATTCCTTCCCATGCACGGAACGTCGCGTAATCCAGCAATCTCGCAAATGTGGCGAGCGTTCTATCGACTTAATTGCTTTACCCTCCTTAAATTCACAAGGCAGCGGGAACTTGGCTCGTGTACTTTGCCTGTCAGACTCTGGCTTCTTCGTCGGGAGTAGCGGCATGAGGCGCACCGCGGACCGTACCTTTTCTTTTTGTCACGACCATCCAGTTTTTAGACGTATCGTAACGACGACATTAATATCGCGTGCAACAGCTCGTGCAGCTTTTAACGGAGCCCCGAATGCTCGCGGAAAGCAGCGAGCTGATTGCGGGCGTGCACTTTGAAATAGCAGAATGTAAATTAATGCGCCAAACGGGTTGCGCTACTCTTTGGTATATTACGTTTACGTATTATTAAAACGAGATATTATTTGTCTCATATGTATTGTATACATACCCGTGGATACAAATTTGTTGGTGAATGTGTTTTAAATAAACATCTATTAGTCACAGCCAATTTGTTCGAATAACATCGAGAGAGATTGTGGCTTTATATTTATACGTCGTCAGTAAAACGTATTTTTTATTAATTTTTTTACGACTAGAGCAGCTAAATGCAGTGTATAAAGGATGTTCGAGTAAAAACGGTACATTCTGAATTAATAATGTTTTCCTCGATCCAAATCGCTTCACGATTTATCAGATGTGTATACCTATGGGACACGCTATATTTCTGATGTTACGCTGTTAATACATTGCTCAACATTGTCGATATCTCTCTGATATCACAAACATTAAATATTTAAAGGAACATGATTTTATTTTCGGTACCACGAAGAGTTGCTCTATGGATTTCTCGTCGTCATATTGCGGTTATTCTCATCTCGCGATAAATATTGCATATACATGAGATATGGTGCGTCTAAGTCAAAAGTTCCATTTTTTCCCACAGTAATATTACAAATACTATAAAAATCAAATTACGACTTTTGATATTAATATAACATCTGTTTCTTTTTAAGGAGTGCATTTTACTATATAAGGAATATTTTTTTAAATATAATAACAGCTTATAAAAATTTCATCATTATAGGTTTTGAAATGTGTAAGAAAGAACGGAATATTAAATATAAAAGCACAAAATTAATTATCTGAAAAGGTACACATATAAAATGATATTATTTTTATCTAAAAATTATTAGGAAATACTGAGAGATTAAAGAAGTAGGAATGTCTATATAAATATATTATAATCAAGAGAGTTATATTTTTAATAAAATATATGTTTTGTATAAATTACAAATTAATCTTATTTGATTTAATTAATCTCACAGAATTGTGTGTGTATGTGTGTGTGCGTCGAATTCTGTAATCAAACGTGATCTTCTTAGGGTTCAAGAGCTTCGCGAGTAAGTCGAAACATTCGTACGAAAAACTTGTGAATACAAACGCGAATCATGAAGCACACCGCGAAGTAACCGACCCTTGAGTTTAGGATCCTATTGACTTACGGTTCGTCTATCCGCCGAACAGAGAAGAGACAGAGCGCGCGCTGGTCTGTTTAATGAACAAGCTTGAGCGGTTTGATTTGCATTGCGCACAGTCACGCTCCGCTCGCGGTGCGAATTTCAACGTAGCAGCCTCTGCTACTCGGTGGCCACCTGAGTAACGTGAGATACCTGCACGTTGGCACAGCCCGCCCTGAGACGCGCGTAATGCGCCCGGGTAGAGAACGCTTTAGCCTGCATCGCGCCGTTGCGTTATCGCGATTCAGCGTCGAGCACTGCCATCGAATGACAGTTTCCTGTGTCAAAGCATACCCGGTCGCTGTTACACAACGTGATCAACCCCCGTGCGCAACCCTCGCCGTCGCCGCCTCTCTCTCTCCTTCCTCACCCTCCCCGACTGCTGCTTTCTTCCATCGAGAGTCGCGCAATTCGAGCGGCAAATGCAATATTGTGGCCTCGCCGCCGAGACACTTGAGACAAAATGGCATGCTTTCGCACGATTTACCCCTTTTTTCCCCCGTAACTTTCAAAGGCTGCACTTCCCGAAAGCTCTTAGATCCTCTTTTCGCGCATCGTTTTACGTGTATTTAATTACGTACATAACTTAAGAGATTCTCCAAATTAAAGCAATTAAATGGACACTTTTTAATACACCCGTTTAAAGTTTCATCAATTTTCATTCAGTTTGCAATGCACGTTTACGTATTATTTCTGCGCGCATATGCAAAAGCTTATTGTAAACTTCAGTTAATAAAAACATAAATGTTTGTTACAAATTTTGGAAAAACATAACATAACTCGGTTAGTTCATATGTATATATTTTATTTTTATTTTCATAATATTCAATATAATTTTTCGAGAATTGAAATTGTAATATAGTTTTAGTCTTTATCTCTCTCTCTCTCTCTCTCTCTCTCTTTCTACTGCTTGTATTTATATAAATAAAATAAATGTATATATATATAATATATATATATATATGCACACATATTTTTATTTATCTATTTACTTTATTTTATATACATATAATACATAAACAATTTCTCTCTCGCCATGTAAAATTGTATTTTATTTAGCTTGACGAAGCATCGATAGCGTCACTTCAGTTTTATTAGTCGGAGCCCAGCATCGTGTTTCTTTTTCCTACTCTTTGTGTTTGGTACTTATCAAGTCACTTTTTCTATCGCACGAGTGCCTCTTCGTATTAGTTCGATGGGACAAATGTGAAAACGGGTTGCCGCGTTCGCGGCTCGAGCGGCAAACGCGACTCGGTCATGATCAGTAAGTGGAAACGGACGAGCACGCGTCCAGCCTATGAAATTGGAGTCGAACTTGCGAGTGGGCGAATGTTTATTTGAAATAGGATAGCCGGCGAACGATTGCACGCTCCTGATTTCGAAACCCGAGGGGACTCGATCATTGAACGAGCCAGGACGAGAGGCTAACGAAAAAATTGCGTCCGCTGTTTGCGGTCCGGCTGTGTATCATTCGGAGACAATTAACAATTGACTTTGTGCGATACGAGAAGAGTTGAAGTGGAGAAGAATGAAATTCTAGTAATGAAAACAATATCCGTTAAAATTAAATGCTATCCAGAATTGAAGTAATTTGTATAAAATTTTTTTCAATAATTATCTTATAAAAGAATAATCTATTTCCCAAACTGTTATTGTTTCTGATTCTGTAAATATTAGGTATGTAATTTCCACGACTTTTTTTCAAAAATATATCTGTTAATACTAAAGCTACAAACATTTCAATCGAAGTATGTATTTGCTTTTCGAATCCATTACTTTTTGCCATCTTTCGGAGATATTATGTAGATATTATATAAATATTATATTGTTTGTATATTATACAGATATTACGGTAAAAGAATACTTCGCAACGCGATTTATCAAAATCATATTTAATTTTTTTAATCAATCTTGACACGTTTTTTCCGATACAGTATTGTCTTCGTAAGTTTCACAAATTGTTTTAGTTGTTCAGTGGCGGCTTTACCGCAATGAAAATAGTGAAGGTAATGGCGAATATATGCATTTTTTTATTTATTTTTAATTAAACTAAAATAAACACAGAGAAAAAAAATTGTTCATTTGATTATATTAATTTAATTCATCTTTCCTATATATTTTTTGTTGGAGAATGTATGTATTTAAATCAAATATAATATATTTGACTCTTCAATACATATATACTTCATAAAAAATATACATACACATATATATATAAACGATCTAAATTAATTTAATCAAATAAACAATTTTTTCTCAGTGTAGTTAAATGTTTAACTGCGGATTGTTATGTAACTTTTGAAACTAGATTGATCAATCTTACTAATGAAAAAGTTGGGCGCGAAAATTTACACTGTTGTTATAGTACTATTTGAAATTGCAATAAAAACAAATTGACAGGCTCCAAAAACTAAATCAATCAAATATTATACCTATGAGAGTCAAACACAGAGTGTTTATGTGTAAAAAATTTATTTAATTAATATAATGTGACAATAGACATAATAAAATTAAACATTGATAACATCAATCACAATTATTCTTAAAGCTCAGTTTGTAATTGTATGATTTATTAATATTTAAATTTATTATATTGAATGTTATTAAGATATTGAAAAGGATCCGCAATAGGATCGAAACGTCTATTATCACATTATATACTAATTGAATAAATTCTTTATACGTAAACACCCTGTGTGTTTGGCTCTCATAGGCATTTGGTTGATTTATTTAAAATGAATCGTGGAAATTTATTTATGTATCTAATAATTCAAAAATTTTCTTATCTGGCCGAATGAATCCGTCTGATTGGTGAAAGATCGAATTGTTTATTATGTTTTTTCCTCGCGATCTTGTAAAAATCATGAAACTCGTATGATTCACGGTATTAAAAACGGCGCATGTTAAGAAGAAAAATGAGATCTATGACGCGTCTATGCAGCAAAGCGCTATCCGATCTACAACCTCTTATCTTGCAACCTTATCCTTGTCTCTTACGGCCACTGCTTCACCTTTGAAATATTATCCGCCGCTACGTACGATCTTCTCAGAATTTATATTAAACAAACGACTCCCATTATTGGTTTATTCGTGTGTTAGGTAAGGTAGGATCAATTCAGTGAATCTCGCTCAAGAACGCGAGTCTCTTTTCACGGCTCTAAGCTAACGTAACTCGCTTACATGCAATATCAACCTGAGAATACCTTCTTGTTTTGGAATACCTTCTTGTTTTGGAAAAAAATCAAATCTAACGTTTGATGGCTGAGAAGGATCGAATGAATTATCGGAAAATACGCCTGAATTTGAGATCAAAGAATCAAATACCTCTCTGTCGTCTAATTAATGTCCATAATGTGCTATATTCTAATGTATCATAATTACAATTATCGGGTATATTTTTAGAAATTGATAATAAAAATATTGTAATTTTAATTTTGACAATAATGACAATAATTTTTGTATATAATAATCGATTTCTTTCTGTGTACAGCTTGCTCTTCGACCGAGTTCATATGCAGAAATGGGCAATGCATCGACAGTAACAGATACTGCGATGGCATGCAAGATTGTCACGATGAATCCGATGAACACAATTGCCGTAAGTATCGTTTCCACATCTGAAAGATGATCGCCTGCACTCATCAGTTATTTGCATGCGCATGCAGTTTGGACTTGTAACGGTGATATCGCGCATTGCTGCGCTGCGATTGTAGCTGCTTCAGAATTCGTCTTCGTCTTTTTTCCTAAACATCTTTTAATAAGGCTATATATGGCACATAAAAAAACGTAAACAGTAAGACATAAGCAATATATGTGTGTATAAGCAAAAAACTTTTTGCTACATCATTATTTTTATATTTTTATTGTGATTGACCGATTCGCTTACGCCTTACATTTTACATTTTTTTTGTGTACCACGGCCTTTAATGTATTGGTAACTATGTTAGTTAATTTTGAAGTAATATTGCACTTTTGTGCGTCCTTAGAAACAACTAAAAGGCTTATTATAACAGTGGGCTAATCCACATTTTATACAAACAGAGAATTAACTCTAACATTAAAGATTAGGAAACAACCCATAGTAAGATCTAAGGGGATGTCCTCTGAATATCTTAAGAATGATTCCCAGGATGTTTCTTGGATAAAGTGTGCTGCATGGGAATGGATTACCTCACAAAATGTGGATTATTCCACTAGTAATAAACCCTTTTATTTTCAAACGATTAAACTTTCTTATACAAGTCGCGCAAATTGTCGTTAATAATTCAGAACACTATTTTTATACATTTTCAAGATAGAGATCTATTATTTTTATATTTCAAACTCATAAATATCGTATTTTTATTTTAAAAGAAAATAGAACTCGATTATGAATGAGCTTTCTACAATAAGCCATTACCTAAGCTTAAGTCTTAAATCATAAGAAACCAATCACAGTCGATTATTCTTCTCACATTCGACTATGACTGGTCAATTTTTTGACGGCTTGAAACTTAAAACTTATGTAAGTCCGGATCAACTTATGTAAATCCGGACAATAAGTGCTTTAAGCCTTAAACCTTAAGAAATTGACCAATCAATTATAGTCGAATGCGAGAAGACTAATTGACTATGATTCCATTTCTTATGGCTTAAGGCTAAAAACCTACACTGTTAGAAATGTAACCACGAGCTTCCTTACATGTGAACTGAAGCTCGTGGTTATGAATGAAATTAAAAGTAATGAATAATTTAACTGAAAATTAAGTTACAATAATTACTTAAATATAATATTTTTATAATTTAAATATAATAAACGCGTACATTAAATTTATGAAATTTAATATACTTTCAATAAAATTTTATGAAAAGTACAATTAAATTTCATAAATTTTCATGAAAAATGCATTAAATTTTATGTATATGTACACAAATATACTTTTGAGTTATAAATACATTAAATTTATAATGTAATGTCACAAAATTAAGTTCAAATTGTGTAACTTAAAATTTAATGAAATTTGAGAACATTTCTAACAATGTATTGTATTATACAATATATCCGGGTTAATGGCTTATTGTAAAAAAAAAAAAAAAAACCAGAAGGCGCTTCTTATAACGCTAATATGGAGGTATTTCACGCTAATTGCGTGAGCGGAAATAAGTTTTGTAATAAGATCGTTCTCGCACGTACGAATCTATAAGACCTGTGTGTGCTGATAAAGGTATCTTCATGAACTGATATTGGCGACGCCTTTGCACGTACCGATTTTATTTATCGCTAGCGAACGCCGCACGACAGATTTGCATGCGACTGCGCCGGAACTAATGGTCGCGGGCTGGTCCCGGCGTATTACGATGAGCTCAATAATTATAATAACTGTGACAATAACAATAGCGTGCTCGGGGAAAGAAAAAAAAAATACGGCAGTGGTTGTGACGATGGCGTTCTTCGGCCTCGTGTTTAAGGCCGTTGCACCCGTATACTGCATCGACATTCGTTTTCTCTCTTCGTTCAACCCTGTCTGCCAACCCCCTCCCCCTCTCTCGCTACCCTTTTCAACCTCAGCTTATTATTTCCGTCGTCTTTTGCAGAGGCATGCTTCGTGGTCGGTCCGTCCGTGTACGACCGCGTGCACATCGCTAACTTATTCTCAGTCGTTAAAAGGCATAATTTAAAAAAAATCGAAAACATTTTACATGATCGATAGGTCGTGATTCGAGCGAGAATGCTTGCTTTGTACACACAGAAAAATGCATACTATATGCAGATAGTAATTATTTGTTTTAAGTATTTTATAGGTTCATATATCCTTAAATATATCACAAGTTTATCTTAAACGTCCAAGTGATTCAAAATATATTCTGAATCCTAATAAATTTAATACTTCAACAAGAGAGAGAGAGAGAGAGAATTATAAAATTAAATTAAATTAAATCAATTTACTTATTATATAAATAATTTTCTACAAAATTTTATAATATTCTTAATAAAAAAAAAGTAATTTCTTGTTTTGAATACATAAAATAAGAGTTTCACTTTCTCTTCTCTCTTTAAAATTTAATTTGTAATAAATACATTTTAAGACTATTATCAAGAAAATATTCTTTGTTAATAATAATCGTTGCTCGAAAGAAAAAAAAATTAATTAAGTAATCACTTTTCTTAACAGTAGAATGATATTTTTCTGTGTGTAGAAGTACAACGCGAAAAATTAAATCAGCATGACATAGTTATTATGTGCTTTTAATTTTTATTAAGTATATAAATCATCTTGAAGGTTGATTAAAGAAACGGTTAAAGGAATCATCGTGATATACAGTCTTTATGTCGTAATGTAAGAAACATTGCACGGGTAACCAGTTCGAATTATTTCACAGTTCATAAACACGCTGCAAATTGCGATTTTATGCGGCAATAATCCATTAACGGAAATAACTAATGAGAAACAACGCGTTTGATGACGCATGTCATGTTTATGTGATTTTACGACGTTTACGCGTCCATTTGTAAATGCTAACGTCATGATAGTAACAATTGTGACGCACGAATGTATCAATGGAGAATTGACTGCCGATTTCTTATTCATCTTCTCGTATAACTTTACTGCACATCTCATCAGCGGCTGCACGAATGTCGTTAGCGTAGAAGCGCGGAAGACGATTAAAAGGAGAGAAAAAAAAGATTAGGCACGGAACACCCCTCGTCCCCCGGCAAATCTGGGATGGCCCCCTGTCGAACGAGATTTACTCGCGTTTATTAATCCGCCCTAATAACCGGCCGCAATTTTAATCCGACGTTAATCTCCCATGGGCCGTCAGCCGAACATCGCGCCAGGCCCTTCCATCATGGCTCTGTCCCGGAACAAGGGCGTCGCACGTCCGCCGAACTTCTCCGCCGCTCTGCGAAAATCGGTCACGCCGCGGAATCGTGTCAAGCTATATGGCGAGAGTCATCATCCCCTGTAAATCCACGGCACGAGATTATGTTTGTTTCTCGCTGTTCGTCGACGACGTTACGTTACGCCAGCGAGTGATATTTTTCGCGACGCGCGCTTATTTTGACGAATCCGAAAGTTTTAATGGCCTCAACAAAATTCGTTAGAAGACATCACTGGCTGCGTTCAACACAGAAAAAGCAATTGCAACTGCTAAGATTCTTTAATATTCTAAATATATTAAGAAATAAAATGGGCTAATGGGAATTAACGCTTTAAGTCTTGTGCGATTAATTAATTATAAAAAGCATTTTATCCGAATCGAAAATATATCTATTAAAAATACGATACAAAGATAATACACTTTTTAAATTCTTTGGAGTTAAATTCTCACTCTAAAGAGTGAAAAATGAACCAGTCTTGAAAAGAAGTGGTTTAATTTTCAATCTTCAAGAGTGAGATTTCACTCTTCAGAATGAGCTTCCACTCTAAAAGTTTTAGAGAGTACGCGTTTCGGCTAACCTTCTAGCCATCTTCAACAAACGTTAACACAAAGAAGTTAAAATACAAATAACATACAAATAAAATACAAATACAAATATGCTTAAGATCTATTACTGTACATCTTTAGCAATGGTGCTCATGGGGCAGTTAATCATTTCTTCATTAGAGAATAATTTTGAATCAGTTGAAAGATTGGATGATACAAAATGATCGCTTAATATTATTAAAACATAAACGGTGAGCATACTTTCGAAGCGCAATTTAAAAAAAAATTATGTATAATAGCAATAATAATAATAATAATAATATGCAATATAAATCGCAAGTCCAGTAATAAAATAAGAATTGTAGTCAAAGTGTAACACAAAGTGATCATACATCAAGTAAGATTGAAAAGTAATAACGAAATATATAAAAATGAACTTGCCATGTCGAAGTTTAAACTTAAATTCTTGAATATGATTCTTAGCTCCTTCATAGATCTAAACATATAAATCATTCATATTAAAGAATCTTACAATAGTTGGGAAATTGCTTCTTCTGCTAAACGTAGCTATTGTCATGTATTTATCGTCACGCAAAGAAAATTTACACTGTATCATATCTTGAGTAATTCAAGATTATTTTGGTTTATCTGATTCAGCAGTTAAACCGTTAATTTCTCGAACGCGTACGAGGGATCATTTTTAAACTATTCTGAAGCGTGAACGAATCGCCTCGAGCATCGAGCTCGTGAGCGGATTATTGAACTCGCGGCTCGTTTGCAATTCAATCGTCAAATGGGTGAGGCTTCGGGGCAGGCCTTGAACTTAAGATGATCTCAGAAATTGCAACATCTCCCATCGGTTTCTCAACGACTCAGCGTGCTGTCTCATACCCGTTTCCGCGTCATCTCACGATGATCTAAGTCCGTTATTTCTCTCTTTGTGACAAATTGAAATGAAAAAAAAAAAAACAGATTTTCTGAACATTACGTTACAGTAGTTGTGATTGACTGATCTCGCAATCAGTCATATTAATCGTTATCAACTCCTGTCGCGAAAAATTGACAATAAATAAATTTTTTATAATTGATAGCTCTCACTCTATTCAATGACAACTAAACGAGTATAACTGAAACTTCTGTAATCCTATGTCACCGCTTCACTGGATGGGATGAGATGTGAATTATTTATTTCGCATTGCGGTTTGAACATTTGATAAAGTGCCATTTTATTTTTCCGTAATTTTTCGGTCCTGGTTTCCATCGCTCTGGGTTTTTTTTTTTTTTTTTTTTTTTTTTTGTAATAGCCGATTAATTTTTCTACGCGGCCTGAATACTTCAGCGTGATGATCGCGATGAATATTTGGGTAGAAGAGATCAAATTTGAGCACGATTGTGCGAAACATCATTACGTGAGATGTAACACCACTCTTCTCTTTCCTTTCCTCTCAAGCTTTATGTGGAAGATAACTTAGCGTTTACCAGGAAAGTGTTGGGACTTTTATTTCTGTTGCTTTCGCTCGTAAAGAACTTTCCACTACGCTTCAATCGCGCTATCCCTTGCGAATTCGCGTGACTTACGTCTGTCCACGTATATATTTCGTCTCTGCGTGTATTCGTGCAATAATAGTCGTCGACGCGGTTAAATGTAAAGGTAACTGTTGGTCGTCACGCAGTGTCCTTTCGCGGGCAAGCAGGTTCTTTCATGTTCTTCCATCGTTAACTAATTGCCGCTGTAAATTAGAGTACGGCAGGAAGGAGTACGACGATTGACGTAACTCCTCGTTCATTTATAATCTCTTCCGTGAAATTTCCTCAAATACGTGCTAATTAATGGCCTAGTCACTTGGGTGTACTTAACGCGTTTCGCTCGGTCACTAATTAGTTCATCTTAAGAAACTCTTTCCATCCTATCTTATATCATCGCGCCGCGATCCCACGTTAGAATTGTTATTTTGTGTTCTTCAGTTCGGATTACTTTGGCATATATATCTCGGGGTCTATCTTTTTTAACTACACTCTCTGTATGTTTAATATTTCGTGAAGCAGTATGAATATTTAGACTTTAGAAAATTGGCGGAAACATGATATTATATTCTCTAATTTTTTTAGAATAAAATATCATTCTCAGAGTGAAATCTCATTCTTAAAAAGATTGAAAAATTCTGCCATTCTTTTTCAAAAATAGCAAAATTTATTCACTCTGTAGAAGTAAGATTCCACTCCAAAGAATTTAGAGAGTATAAGAGACGAATGTAGCTAAGCAAAACAGACGTAAACTTTGCGTTGCTTACTTGCTTCCTATTCACTTATGTGAACAAGTGAACTTAATTTAAATATCTATTCTTTTCTTAAACATTATTCTTGAACATTACTTCGGAATGCAGCTTAATTTATTCGTCAACGAAATTGTTACTCGTTACCGACAGTCATTGTGCTTCCTACATCATTGTATCTCAGTGTTACGTCCATTCAGCAATGTATGCCTAATCTTCGTCAGCGTTATTCTCTCAACTGTGTTTGTACGTGTCATCTCTCAAATTGACCTGCATCAGTCGAGTCATCAGTGCCGTTCTCGGCGACATAAATCTTCCCAGATTAGCCTGAGTGCAATTCTTACAGCCTGCAAGGAAGACCAATTCGAATGCGCGCCTGGTTATTGCGTGCCCTTATCACGGCGCTGTGACGGATACACGGACTGTATCGGTGGAAGGGACGAACAAAATTGTTACAACATGAGTACGAATTATCACTATTTACTCCAATCAGCTGCGAAACGGCACACTCAGCGCGAAACATGTAAATCAGTCGGCGTTGGAATAACGTGGTCGTAGATGTGGCACATCTGCGCACGAAATAGCCTTTACGTTTGCCAAGAAACTCATTTGACTCGTTAAACTATTTAACAAGAAATGTCGCGATAAATTTTTTGCTATTATGAGTATCAAATTGCGTACATCGTGCAACCCGATGATATTCTAGAGTCGCATTACGAGCGGTCACCGTGAAATTCCAACGCCGATAATTACGGGGACACGAGGCAACTGAGGAGAACTGTTTTATTTCCTTTTTTTTTTTATTTCGTGAAATTTGGTAATCGAAACAAATTGCATTCGCGATCGAATTTTGAGGGGCATCGGTCTCGTGTTCCCGTGTCGCATGGTTCGCGATATTCACGCACACGAGACGCCCAGAACATTTCGCAACACGCATCTCTGCGGCGAGAGGTAGGTACGAATTCTATTGCATCTTTTGGGTATATACGGTGTAAAGGATTAAACGGTATACGCGAATTTTCCTGCGTGAACATGATGCCTGCGCAGCATGATATTTGAAAGCTCCCGCATTTTTAACTCATTAGGAAGTAGCGCATGATAATTTACGCATGCGACTCTGGTTACATCATAAAGTTATGCAGAAACTCGCGAACAGGTATTCACACTTGCAATAACGCGACGGCGATTCTTGCGCATAATTATTCATGGATATGTGGTAGCACATATGGCTGCGAATTTACTCCGCAAAACAGTCACAAGCAGTTAACAGCGATATGCGGAATAACCGTTTTCCAACTGTCGAGAATAAATTAAATTTCAACCAGTAATTTTTAATCCGCTCGAAAGAAACTCACACGATGCTTTACGCGACAGACGGTTTTTTTTTTAAACCAGACTAATCTGAATATAGATGCAATTTATATGGACATAGATAGACATATCTATTTATCAGAATCAGGTAAATTTTTTGTAGTTGTAAAATCGAAATCTTATCCACAATTGACAAAATAAAAATTCCAAAGAGAGTTCTCACAAATTAAAATACGCTCTAAGAATGCTATGAAATTATCATATTTTAAGATATTATAAAATGTATCTAATCAACTTAATTGATTTGTCTCTATTTATAGAAAGATACATTTTTAGATTTTACAACTAGTCTCGCGATGAGCAGCCGAAGTCATCGACACGAATTCCAAGCATAAAAGTAACGCGACACTACAATCTATATTTACTATAGGTCAAGTGAATTTCTGCAAATAGTTGCCATTTTTAATTAACTAAAGCGGGCTATCGAATATTTCCGAGCGTGGCATGGATTCAATTGATTATTGATATCGCGTAAATTGAATATGCTTCAGTAACTCGTTCAAATTGCGACAATAATCAATAAAACTCGAGTCGACAGCTCTTCAGTTACTTTGTACAGACAGAGAATAAAAACTTTTAACTAAATCAAGGTGTCGTTGTGTGAAAGTGCTATCGTATCGTACCAATGAGGATATTTGTTTTTGCGTATTTTTTTCGGTTTGTCCACCATCCTATCTCTTTTTTCCTCTCCCTTATTTTATTTATACACATTTTTATTTTTTTTCTATCAAATAGCACATTTTTTTTTCTCTTTCAAATAGCACGATGTCGAGCGGACGAATTCGAGTGCGCCAGCGGTTCATGTGTCAGCAAAAATGCAAGATGTGATGGACGAAACGATTGTCTCGATCATTCTGACGAATATAATTGCAACGGTTTGTTTGTATTATTTTTTTCTTTTTATTATCGATATTTTGTCTATTGTTTTTTTATATATTTTTTAATATATTTTATAGCTGTTTATCCATGAAACATAATTAATCACGTATTACATTATTATTATTCTAATTTCCAACTCAACAATAATATAAATGTAACATAACAAATATTGTGTATAACAGTGACGTTGTTGAGTAGAAAATTATACATTGATGTAATGTTATTGTTAGTTCATGTTCTCTCTCAACGGGTTAAAATAGATTTAAGTTACAGATAGTTTTTCAAAATTATATTTTTATTGATTATATTTTATTAATTACATTTTTATTATATTTTTAAATTATATATATTTTTTATTTATATTATATATATATATTTTATTTATTTTATTTATTTATTTATTTATTTATAGTTTATTAGTTACAAATTGGAATAAATCTCGATTAATGAAGAAGAGGTGAATAATTTTATCGCTGAGCTTTCGAGTAATTATTATTTCGTAATTAAAAATATTATATACTTAAATATGATCTTGTATATGATAAATTATTATATTTAATAAACTTTTCATTTCTCTTTATATCGATTTCAGTGACCACCTGTAGTGGGGATCAATTCCGTTGTCTGGATGGCATCTGCTTAAGTATCGACAAGCGTTGCAACGGAATCGCCGATTGCCGTAACGGCGAAGATGAGAATCAATGCGGTAAGCTAATTTGTTTTCCTTCCCTCTTTGAAACATGTATTTATTCGATCGATTTATTCTTACATCTTGAGAGCGCGAGAGCAGAATATATCAAATGAGATTTTTTTAACAATACAGATTTCAACGGAGTCTGTCTTATACAACTCCGTTATTTCTGTCTTCGTTGTCTTTAATTGTATCGTCTTTGCTCATCGACAACGTAAATCCTACGTTGTTACATGTTCTGAATCGTAAAGTCAATAATCACTTTTGCACGCGCAACGATAACTCCCGCAACGGTTCCAGCAATAAGCCGCGATAAGCCTGCATCGATGCTCTTTGCCAAGTGTCGGTTACCCGACGCGATTATTCACGAGCGATCGAAAGGGGCGCCTGAGCTTAAACGAGCCTCAAACGCGCCTGCGAAGTTTAACAACAAGATTGCAGGCACTTTGATAAGTCTCGCGAGTAAACCCAGCAGTGATCTCATTCGAACACGTGCTTAACGTCGTGGAAATAACGTCGCAAAGATTGCGATTTGTATGCGCATACATTATCATCCGAATTTTAAGTATCATTAATTTTTTTTTAATCAGTTTCGTCGCGGATGAGAAACATTTGTCTCTTCATTACAATAGTGAACCACGAGTACGCGAGAGCAGAAAAGCGTTTACGCTTGCACATAATTAGACGCTGACGAGCGGTTACGAAGGTCCGGTGTTGGATACACCAACGTTGTGCGCTATAACGTGAATAAACGTAAACTTAATTTTCTCCGGCACGCTCCACGTGACTTTCGATTTACGATTTTCCACGCTGACCGAACTTTATGCCTCTAACGCGCTACGCCGAAAATAACACCTCTTTTCCTGAAATAGTTCAGCCAATGTCGTTGCACCATTACCTCATCTAATCCAGGTTTCGTTGCAACCTAAATCGGAGCGTCCACGATCGGTCGTGTGTGAAGAAGGCGGCGAACTTTCAGGCATTCCCGAATGTACTCGGACCGTTTCGTTACGACGTTACCTAAACTCGCTTTAATTAATCGACTTTTAAGCGAACCGCATCCGACATTCCTGCAACCAACACGCGTGCGAGAGAGCGAAGACATCAATTCTCGCTGCCGATCGAAGATAAATTAATCGCGTAAAGATAATCCAATAGTCATCCACGTCATCCTGTTGCAATTGACTTATCTTCTTGATTGAGAATGCAGATTGCTGTCCTTCGCTCTTGTATATTCCCTGTATACTTCCTTCGTTCATATACTAACCTCAGCAAAAGCAGCACAGCTCGAAGCATCTCACACCAGGTAAAGGTGCGTCCGCTTCTACCGTCCAGATAGTGTAACTGATAGTGCTATATGCAAATCGTACTCTCTGACCCACGCTGTCGCTCGCACCGCGTGATCATAAATTATTTAGCATTACGCCCGGTTTATTCTGTTAACGCGCATTTTGGACGGAAGATTCGGAGTGTCGAAGGGCTTGCTTGGAGCCGCGATCGCGCGGCTTCGCTGGTGGATCATGAGTGATCCTGGAGGGATGGGGAACAACTTGAGGACGGGGGCTGACGCGCGTCAGCGAGGCGATGCAATCTTTAAATGCGCATGAGTGTATGGTGTATGGAGCAGGTTGCGGAGACACCGAGTTTCGCTGCACGGACGGCAGCTGCATCAACTACGTGTTGCAGTGCAACGGGGTGAACGAGTGCTCTGACGGCTCTGATGAGAGGGACTGCGGTAATTATGCCACACCACACTTATCTACACGCTCTTTCTTCTACACGATACTGGAACACGTATACACGTTACATCACACTTGTGCGCGTGCACGAGAGACAAGTCATTCGATAAATATTTATAATGTCGCGAACTGTATTTGGACAATGTACACGGGATGACGCTTGTCATAATATAGATTTTTTTATTCAAATATGGAATCGGTTGAAATTGAGATTTTGAGAAAATAAGAATCTGTTTCTACATAAGGATTGATTAGCTTTTTAAAAATAGATTTCTAGCGAAAAGTTACCTCCCTATTTTACTAGTACTTTCATATTATTGTAATTCACTATGCAGCAAGTAATAGAAAGTCTATACTGAAACCGACAAAATCAACTTGTCTTTCATCGATTGTGCTAACTTTCAAATACAACTAGAACTTGGAATTGTATTTCAAATATTATTATTAGAATTTATAGCATTAGTTGAGATTGAGCCGCTTTGAGACAAAAAGAATCTGCTTATATATCTATATGTATATGTAATATATATATATATATATATTTCCAAGGATTGATTAGTTTTTTAAAATAGTTAAAAATTTTTTATTTTTATAGCAAAAAGTTATTCAATTTTACTAGTATTTTTATATTATTGTAAAATTTAGTATGTAGTATAGGTAACAGAAAGTCTAATACTGCAACCGACAGAATTCAACCAACTCGTCTTCCATCGATCGTACTAACTTTCAAATACAGCTTCCAAGCATTCCGCGTGATATTTTCGCCATTACATTCACCTTTTTCTGCCGTAATCCCTTTTTAATTTTACTTATCGCGAAATCATGCGCCGCCCGTAGAGAGGTATCCGTGGCGAAATACCGGAAAGTTCGTGATTGTACGGAAGTCGACCGCGATTTCCTACGGAGGGAAACTCGCCGAACGCCGAAGGAATATGAATATGCAACCCGTGACGACGGAAAGCGCCGATCGACTCGCTATCAAACCAGCCGTGACGATCGGTAATCCGATCCTGGAAGCGTTTCCGGAAGAAACTCAACGACGAAGATTTCCAAACTCCATGCTGCAGAAACCCTCGGCATATTTGATCCAAATTACATCCAAATCGAAAGATAATAACTCGTCCTCGCAATACGTAAAATTTGGTCGATTTCATAATCTTGATACGAATTGCAGTAATGCCGAAGTTTATCATCCAACTGTTAACCAAACCTTAAAGCGATCAAGCAACGAGTCTCGAATTCCAAAACCTTTCAAGCTGTCAGATAGTCTCGTGAGATCTTTGCAACTATTTCAACAAAAAAATATTTCACTGAAAAACTTTGGTTTACAATCTATCAATAATCGCGATAAAACACGAAAAATGATAAGTGGAAGTAATCCTGATTGCGCACCGAAACAATCCAATACATTCAACGTAGACGCAACAATTATGATTCTTGGACCCAGTAAAAAGGGCAAATATGTTACGGAAAAGAATATTTCTAAATCAAACAATTCGAACATCAGAACCGTTATCGAAATCTCTTCGAAAATAGACATGGAATATCAAAATAGCGATAAAATTAAGAGGACACCAACGAAATTGGAAAATAATACGTCTAAAAATAATATTGACAACATTAAAGCGATACATCGCTCTAAAAACATCACTGTAGAAGCTGCGAAAAATATTGATGAAGAGATAGACACGGAAAATCCTTTAATGATTAAAAAAAAATCAACTGATACTGTTACTCAGCGGATTGATAATTTGATCTGCAAGTTTATTAAAGCTAAGCATATGGTATGTCGTCAGAGTGATTCAACTGAAGTTTCAATTAAACCAATTTATACAACTTCTAAAATAACGACAGTAACAAATGACGCTAATATTAATCGGAATTTTAATATGACAGATGTACGTGGCAATAGTAAGATTCTTAGAAAAAATCAACGCAGAAAACACGGTTCGGCTTACCAAAAATATTATGATAAATATTTGAGGAACTTGATAACTTCATCTACGATGAAAGTGTCGACAGAATTCGCAGTTGATACACGAACTTCAACGACATTAAAAAATACCTTTTTAAAAAATATTAATAAGCATGAAGTAACCAAGGCTTGGCAGACTGAAAAGAGGGATATGCTGGAAAATGTAACTGGATTTATTTATTCTGATGTATTCAATAATACTCACGGTCAATCAAATTTACCAGAAAATTATATTGAAACAAAGAATAACAATCCGAATAATAAAGAAATTTTTTTTGGATACGAGGTAAGAAAAGACAGTAAGGTTTCAAATTATTACAATAAATACTTGAAACATCGCGTCACGCCATTTAAAAGAACAGCTCCTGTGACTGTAAGCACTAAAATTGAAGAATATAACATGACGAATATGAAATATGATCAGCAAAAAGCAGCTTCATCTGTTTTAGGAGAAATATTCGCAACAACAAAATCAAACAAAAATGATTATTCTTCAATAAAGACAGAAAAGTTACTATATGAACTTAAATCGCCAAAGGCTGAAATACATCGTCGGTATTTTCCAACAATTAACGTTGACAATATCGATATGATATCAAATCTTTCAATTTCAAATCATAACGCGACTCAGCAAAATCGAAGTAATGAAAAGTATAATAAAACGCACAAACAATCAGATATTTCTTTCGAAAAATGTTGCGACGAAAACTTGATACAAAGTAACGAGAAGATCGATTCCGGATTGATAAATTCAGGTGAGACGCCGGAATCAATACCTATAGAAAATACAAACACGATATCGAAGGAATCACATGAATCCAGAGAGATTTTGGAAGAAAAATCAGAGGATGATTTTGACGTTGTTCTGTTCAATTTTACGACAACGAGGGTTCCCGAGATCGTCACGCGGGATGCAAATGAACCCAGGGAGGACCCAGAGAAAACATCTACTGAAAGACACGGCAAACGCAAGCACAAAAGTCGTCATAATAGTCGTAAGAACAACAGGCCCAAGAAAAGGAGGAAGAATCATGTAAAACGTAAGAGGAAACCGACATCATCCGTCGCTTCGAAAGTCGACGAGCCGACGAGCGTCGATTATGACAGCGCTTATAGTTCAGAGCGGGTGAAGATGTTGTCCCCTAACGATCTAGAGTACAACGAAGCTGATAATCGTAATACGAGCACTGGTGGAAACGACTGGTACCTCACTGCTGAAATTACAACGGAACCTTTTAAAATAGAATCCTCTAACGCTGATGAGTCCGTCTCAAAACATCCCACGGAAGACAGCATTGACGACGAATTTCAATCGGAAGAAACGAACGCAGATCTCGTTACCAGTAGCACCATATCTTATTTATCAACAGCGTCCAATGAGAAAATTTCTAAAAAATGTAAAATACTAATTACGACTGAGAGTAACTGGCTTAACTGGTGGACAAATGATAATAAAAAGACAGACGAAGAATCAACGGAATGTGAAGAAGATGTTACTTCGCTGCCAACCACAAGTGATTCAATAGAAGAAGAAACAAACTATTATAGCATATCTGTCAGCGATCATTTTTCGATATACAACACGATATCTATATTAGATAGCACTACTTTAATCTGGGAATATTTCAGCAAAGAAAATAAGAATGTAAGCGATGAAGAAATAAGCACAACATTTAGCATGATTAAGGATGAAGAAAATAACGAGAAGAAAGTAATGGTAAGTGAATCTATATTGAATGAAGAAAGTGATAAAAATAATGAAGGAACACAATCTTGGGAAAGTATTACGAATTTTGGAGGCACTACGCACAACGTGAATTTAGACTTCAATAGTGAAGAGGAAGAAGACGGATTGGAGAAATCAATATCCGATGAAGATAACGAAATCGACAATGGTATCGCGGAGACCATAGAGGATTATGAGATCGACAATTGCAACGAGACTCAGCATGCTTGCGATAAATATACATGTATCGATGAGGACCAGGTATGCGACGGTATCGTAAACTGTCTTAACGCCAATGACGAAACCGACTGCGATTATATATACTCTAAGAGGTGGGAGGAGCATCAAAGAATTAATGACAAACGGATTGACTTCACTTCGAACACTGTTGACGATACGTCGCATCTTGATGGATGCAGCCCTTTTGAGCATCCTTGCGACAGCATGTGCATAAACGCGTTGCACGTCTGCGACGGCAAGAGAGACTGCCTGGACGGTACGGATGAGGAGAACTGCACCAAAGGTATTCCCCATGTAGAAAATAATACCCTGCGAGAGACGTCTCATTTCACTCTTTGTTCACGCTGTAAAAACTATCTCGCCTTGGATGGAGCGTCACGTGAATCTCAAGCAAGCGTGACGTCATTTCGGGATGACCTGTCATCTTCGCTGTACAGAACATGGCTTTGAAGATATCAAATTGGCTAATATGTGAACGTCCTTGGGAAACTATCGAGATTTTCGCGATAAAAAAACTTCAGGAACGTTTTTTCCGACTATTTGCATAGGTACTTTACTTTATCCCCCCTTCAAGTTCTTATCTGAAGAATGCAGAAGACTCGCTTTTGTGCTTCCGGATCAATGTCATGGTGTTGAAAATCTACGTCGTTTGTTATGTGTTACGCAGCTTTGAGGAACAAACGTGTTAACAAAAATATTATGAATAAGTAATAACTTTCCGTTCAGTGTAAGAGTGTATGTTTACATTGTGTTGTCCATCTTTGTTGTAAAAATATTTCCGGGGAGAGAGAGAGAGAGAGAGAGAGAGAGAGAGAGAGAGAGAGAGAGAGAGAGAGAGAGAATAGTCAGACGGTGATCCTTAAAGTGCAGTGACCGAAGACGATTATCTTATCGCTTATTAGACGATTATCTTATCTAGTTCTTATTAGACTCGTCGAAGCTCCTCGCTCAGTCTGAGGAGGATTTACGATGAACGATTGCAGGAATTAGTATCAATGCATCTATCAATGATTGCATTAGTCATTCTGCATACTGCAGACATACGATCAGCTGCCACTATTTTTATGTACGCGATTAGATCGCCAGTTGAGTCCGCAATGACAAAACGTGAATCCTCTTTTCTCGGATGTAGAAAGAACATCCCATTTCATCCATTCCATTGACATCATCATCGTGTCACGCATTACTCATTTACTTTTTTCACAAGGATACAGAATTTGCTTCTCTGTTGCAAAAAGAAGCATTTCAATGACACCCATAAAGAATCATTTCCGGTAATGGTGATATGCAATCCACACGACACACGTACCCGAACATTATACATGATTTACGAATTGGAGTAAAAGAGAAGGTAAAGGAATATGAAACAACGTAAAAACTTTAAAACGCCGCGCGCGAAATTTGCTAAAAATATTTGAAATTAATATAATGTACAGTTTATCAAACGAATCGTTTTATTTTATAGACCAAAATCGGATGGTTTCGTATATTGTGGAATATTCCTACCGTCTCTCAAGTGAAATAATTCTAACCACCCTCATAAGGCTTCTTCACGACGCTTTAAATGTTAGACCAAGCTTTAAAATATAATAAGATCTCTTGGTTACAGAATCATGCGTTTTACCAAAGATGCTTTTTCCATGTACAGATTTACGAGTCCTCTACCACGCCTAAAACTGCTTTAAATGTCTCTTTATATGTTCATAGCTTGTATTTCAACCTCGAACTCGTCTATCAATCGCCAATATAAATTATTTTTTAATATAAATTTTTTTGAAGTACACACACAGTAATAAGATATCGTTTTAATTTATTTAAAAAATTTACTTTTTACATTTATTTTAATAACGCGATGTAAATCATCATAAATTAATGAAAACTCAAATTACCCCTGACTTTCAAACTTTATTTCGAAAATCCATTGAAATCGAGGCGATTGAACGGCAGAATGCGAGATGCGAGCGTTGAACAGGAGGATCTTTGTTTTTTGCCGATGGCACTCTGTAGGTTTGGCCCCGTGCCCTTCCACGGACTTCACCTGCGAGGATGGCTCTTGCATATCGAAGAGCTCAGTCTGTGACGGATTCGACGACTGCCTCAGGGCAGAAGACGAGCTTTATTGCGGTACATAACCATGTATACCTTTCACGCTATTCGGTATTAAAAGAGAAAGAGAGAGAGAGAGAGAGGGAGAGACCGAATAAAAAAAAAGAAGACAAGTGCATGGATGACTTGGCATAATATCAATAAATGTTATTTTGACATTTAATGCAACTCGAGCTTAAAAAAAAAAAAAAAAGTTTTGGAAGTGAAACATAATATTTTTGTTGCGTTTTATCGGTATCGTTACGCGTACAATAACAAGTGACGCGATGGAATTTTAACTACAAACGTACAGAAATTGATTTCGAATAATTGGTGCGAATTATTTATTCGCACTGTTATGGCATTCGAATTGATAGACGGTTTGAACAAAATGTTTTGCAAAATACCGTTGAAAGTAACGAATAATCGATTTTATTAATGTTTTTATTCCTATTAACGTGATATTTCCTTAATTATGAAAAATGCCTTGAGAGATATTCAGAGAACACTTTATTATTCCATAATTATATTCTGTATTATATTGACAACAAGTTCATCAAGTGATCAAGTCATTCCATTGACGATTAAAATGATGCATTATCTGATTCAAAAGCAAGAAAGTTACGATTCACCTAATTCTTTCTCTCTTTCTTTACACTGTTTTTTTTTCGAAACCCTGCTTAGCTTGCACCTTATATAACGCTTGCCATTGAATCAATCGCTTAATGATTTCCCTCGTTGAATCTAATCACGGACTTGTTCCGTGTTGGTTAGACGCTAATTAGAGCTTAAATTCGGATCCAACGCTAACGTGACCAGAGCCGACAATGTTAATCGCAGATTTCGATTATTCGAGTGGTAAATATATTTCAATTAATAAATTAGTTTTTATGTACATAGAAATTTTTCAAGTAAAATATTAATTATCGTAAGCGTTGTTTTGGTAACTGTACTATTTATAATTAAATTAGAAATAAAAATAATAGTAAGTAGTAAAACAAAAACGCCTGAAGGCGAAATCTGCGTTTAAATTAGCCTCTGTATATAAGTACATCTATTATGTAGTTGTGTAAATAACTTATTACATTATCCTTGACGCATTCCTATAAATACCCTACGAAATTTTCTGTAAGAGATATGAACAATGCCAAATATTTCGATTATAATTTATGTATAATGAAACTTTTTGATACAATATCTTACGATTAATTTATGAGGTAACATAATTATCATTACAGGAAAATTCAATCATTACGTTAAACGTAACAATGTAATATAATATTTTAACATATAAAATGTAATTCACTCAAATATTTTCTTATTCGTTTTTGATTCGCGTTTTCTATCGAATTTCACTGCGAAAATACACATCGAATATGCATGGAGACCACGATTCTTTCTGCGAAGTTTAATTCTAAATACCGGAATCGTTCGTCGACTGACAAACGACCTCATAATAGCAGACCATTACACATATTTACGTGAAGCTAATAATCGTGTATCTCCCGCAAAACTATAGTCGATCGCGTACGAAAGCTACGCTTATCGTCACGACACATTTTTCGCGCATTGCACGCAACATTGTAATTCGCATTAACCAATACGACAGGTTATTTTTCACGAGCATTTCATCCGACTCAACATAGAATATAGCTCGGCTTTATAAACGCGCGCAGGCCGAATATAATTTCCAATTCTCCCTAATCCCTCCCGTAAATTATTACTGCTAAATAACACTCAGAAGCAGCTTTTTTCGCTTTCGTGATGTGACAACAGACAGCAGAAGCTATCAATTAAGTAAAGGAAAGCTCGTGGATAAAAAAAGCGAGACTGACGATCGAAAGCGTCTCGCTCTGAGAAGTCTGAGAGTGTGCGTGTGCGGCACGCTTTCCGCTTCGATATAGATAGTATATGTATATGTACACGGAGTGATTGTATATATGTGTAAAAATGTATGTGTTCTTTGCGCATATGTCCGCTGAACAAAACAAAATACAGAGCGGGAATGCACGCCTAACCAGTTCAAATGCGCCACCGGGAACAAGTGCATCGAGGACGTCTACAGGTGCGACGGCCATCCGGATTGTCCAGATCACAGCGACGAGGACTGCGCCCCGTCCGCTAACGACACTACACACACCACTTCGCCTACCACCAGTACGCTCCTTTTTCAGTGTGTCCATCGCTTCATTCATAATACATTTGTGCAACCTCGTCTAGCGTGTTCCGCTATCACTATTCGATCTCGGTAGATCTGTAAATAATTGGAACCTTCGATCGACTTTTTCCCAATAGAAACGTCCCCGTTAACAAAAAAATGATAATGAATTATTTGATGAATTTATTTCATCATATGAAAAACATTAAAATCGAATCGCTCTTCCTTACGAAAATCCGATACTGATCAATACTGAAAGACGGTAATTAACTATTTATTTTAAGTATTAAAAGCACTATTGTTCAGTACTTTAGTATTTTAAATAAATAATTAATTATTACCTTTCAGTATTAAATTGGTCAATTAGATTTCTGTGAAGACCAAAAATCGAACGCGTGTCTGTCTATTTTTTTATAATAGTTATTTATATATATATAATAATTTATTATTCGTTATAATAACTATAATTTTTTATTCGTAACTATTTAAACGTAAACGCATTTAATTTTAATTATTTATACATGCCGGTACTCTATGCAGTTTTATTCGCCGCTAGACGTTAAACAATAAAAATGAGAGATTTGAAAAATATCTTCGAGCTTCGCAGTGTTACAAGTTGCCTACCTTCGTCCGAAGTCCGTAATGTTTGCTTTCGGTCGAATCCTCTTAAGGAACTCTTATTTACGCGGGACAAGTGGATCTACCTGCCTGAGCGGATACACACTCGACGATGGTTGTATTTCATTGTGCATTTCTCACGATCAATCGTTACGACCGTGGTCGAGAAAGCGATTCCGCCTCTTGTTGCTTCTCCGAAGACCCCGACGGCCATTGTAACATTCGTTTTACCGCGCACTGGGAAAATTTATACTTACGAGACGCGACTGCTAAACTTATCGAGGCAACTTATTGAAGATGTACAAGTACATCTCTCTCTCTTCCTTTTTTTTTTATTTTCTTTTTTTCTTCTATTTTTCAACAAACCATGTTCTCGACAACGGCTCTATTTTATCGTACCACCTGAGTGCGGAAGGGTCGGAACACACCGGAAACGTATTACCCCGCGAATCCCCCGTACGGAAGATTCACGGTGATCGTCGACGGTACTCTCGCCCGTTCGCGCCGCAAATCGTCGCGTTACAAAGCAGCCTGCGGATATATACGCCATGCATTGATATACAAGTAGCTGCATTACGCACGAACTTGTACGCTCGGATGCAGACGACGGTGTTGGATAGGAGTGCCTTTGAACGTTTCTTTCCCCTGCAAACTTTAGTGTTTTTCCGGCAACAGTCTGCTAATTGCCGAAAGGACAGTAAAAAACGAAGGGGAAGAAAATTTGGGAAACTGAATGAACAGGGTATTCTTATGCAACATCTTAGCCACGTTTGTGATTCTGCTTGCGAAACTGGTGTTCTCTTTTTAGTTTTCTATTGCATCATTCTCAGTTGCATTATGGTATGATAGAAAGTAAATGCATTACGTCTCGCTGCAAGTGTACCTTTAAATTTGATTTCTGGCTGCTCGATGCTTCATTTTCCTTGCTGCGGATTTTTCCCTTGAATGTGCCTGTGTGTATGTGTGCGCTCAGACTCATCCGATCCACGCTGGACACCCGAACGCAGAAGAGAATGCGATCCGAGGACAGAGATGCGCTGCGATGATGGCAGTTGCGTTCTTCTACGACGTAAATGCGACAATATCTTCGACTGTCTCGACGGCAGCGACGAGCGCGGCTGTGGTAAGGGTTTCACTTCGTTCTCACAGCCCATCCTCTTCCTTTCCTTTCCGCATACTCGTATTAACGATGACAAATGTTTCCTGATTTCCTCCATCCGCGTATTCATATTAACGATGACGAACGGTTTCTGATTTTACAAGCCTGAGGAAATCTCTTTTTTGCTTATAAAATAAAAAAATTTTATACGTATATTTATTATTTCATTTTTATATGTTTATTTATAGTAATTCGCTAAAAATCTCTTTTTCTATAATAAGCTCTTTCGATAAATTGTCCTAAATCAGTTTGATAAATTACATTTTTTTTTTTTATTAATAATTCTGTTTCAGTTTATATTTTGTTATTGTTGTCGTAAATATGTGTATATTGAAAAACACTAACAGATAAATTTTACTAAGTATTTTTTACGTAGTAATGTAGTTCTTTATTGAAATGCTTTGATATATCTACTTATATATACAATGTTTACCATCAACAATTCAATAAAAGTTCATTACTGATAGCTCAATTCTCACAAATATTCATAAATTTTTAATAACTATTAATAATATTAAATAATACTATAATAATTTTACATATTGAAGATCTATAAATTTGTAGTTATTTTTAAGTATTAATATAAAGTTTCAATATATTAAATATTTCTTTAATTTGATTTGAGAATTTAATTTAAACTACTTTTATTCCTACTGAAATTTTTATCAATCTTATACGGTATGACACATGCTTAACAATCGATTATAATGATACCATTGATGATTCCTTACTATTCCCCAATCCCTAATGCTTTTTGCGGGAGCTTTTGACATGCTGTGTCATAAAGGGGTATGCACACCTGCCGAATGGAAGTGTGCCAGTGGCGAATGCTTGCCGGAAAACCAGAGGTGCGACGGAATAACGCAGTGCACCGACGGATCCGATGAGGATCTATGTGGTAATTATATGACAGCTTACGCCCACAATCGTCCAAAAAAATGGCCTTTTCACTGCTCTTGCTTGTTAGCCAGTTGCACGCTGCAAAATTATTACACACCTGCTTTTAGACGAATATCGTAATTTCCATTTATTCTCAATTTGCTAGAATCCTCGAATGACTATACCTCAATTAGAAAAACTTTTTACTCAATTAAATGTAATATTAATCTATGCAGCATGTTACAAAATTTAAGTTTGAATTATCTAATAATATATTTCCTGTTAATCTTAATGCCTGCATGATTATAGAAAGTTAATCATTATTCCCAATCTCAATATATCCTAAATTGATTCCTTAGAACCAAGAATATATGGAAGTATTTGTTATTAAACTAAAATCTCAACAACCTACATCGAAATTGTAATAGTCATCGTATGCATGGAATGATTTTATCATATATGACATCGCATTCTTTCTTTGCAAAAGGAATCACTCTCGCATGTGTTGCTTCATGTCACACGTTGCATTTTGTCTATGTTGTAAGTGTTGGCGCACGTGTCTCTCTGGGAGTATAACCGGTATGAACATTTGGAAGCGCATGATAAAAGCTCCTGTAAGTAGCTCATGATAATATTAATTGGACGATGCAAGAAGAGCGAATGTCCCGATGGGTTCACATGAGGATTGATCGTTCTACTGTATACTTTGCCTTAGAAACTTATTAGAGCAGAGTGGCTGGTGTACTCAGCAAAGTACAATAATATACAACTAACAAGGGTGACAAGCAGCGTCTATTGTGTATGATAAGAAACGCATAATAATTCATCCCCACGTTTGTTTAACACTTAAGTAGTCGTAGAGACTTTATTACTCATGATGTTTATTGGTTTGAATATCACCGATAGAAGTCTCTTCGAGAAGGTAAATTAAAAATAATTAAATTGAATAATAAATACAATTGAATTGCATTTAATTTTATAAGAGAGATTTTTTTTTCTTTTGAGGAAAGGATTACTAAGGGAAATCTGAATATATTACAAAATCAATATCTGTCAAAACAGGTGTTCCCGTCTTGTGTAATATGCGCCGATTGCAATTAAAAGATAAAAAAAATTTGCATACATATCGCCGCGATTACTCAAGTGTTAATAAAATGAATTTCACGTGCGATGGCAGCACGTTTCTTTAGCCTTACACGTCTGATTATTTTGAACAAATACGGAATCCTGCGGTGGTAAGGCCATTTTTTTTCCCGTATGGATAGCATGCACGATAATACTCGACATGGAACTTGGTAATTATTGTAGTAACCGAATGTCCACCTGGGTGGTTTCGATGCAACGATGGAGTGTGCCTCGACATTAAGAGACGTTGCGATGGCCGGCCGCATTGCTTGGACGGCTCCGACGAGTTCAATTGCTCTCGTAACAATGATTTTTAGTTTTTAGCTTTATTTCACATGCCGAGGACGATATAGACCTAAGCCACACACCTAGAATCGACTGACACAGTAGTTCCGACAAGTACTGCTTTTTAGCTTTCACTTGAATGACATAGCAGTATCGTCGATAGTATTGCATTACGAATTAGAGCAAGTTACTTATAAAATTTTTTGTACTTTTCTTTTCTTTTCTTTTTAGTCACATTGGATATTTGCATTTTGTAACTTAGGTCTGTGTCCTTCTTAGCGCATTATTTATGTCGATAATAGTCCGCACTAAGAAAGCTTATCGTTAATTTAACAATTAATCAATAAGATTTTATATATATATTAGCATAAATAAAGACTTTTATAAAATGTATCAATTAAAACGATAACTTTTTTCCGTGCGCTTATTTATTCTAATCTTTCTCTATAACATTATTCTACTTTTTCTTTTGCCCTCTGAGGGTTAATCATGCCACTTTTTCTTCAGAGTGGAAACGTAAAAAATGAAAATTTTTTGTATGTATATATATATATATATATATATACATAAAAATTATTATTTTTCATGTTCTTGCTCTAGGGAAAAATAAATTAGATGATTGACTTCCTGAAACTCTTTTCTCTATCAGCATTTTCATTATGGGTCATAATATTTTCTGCGACATATGGTATTCTTGTTATGAGCATATGATACTTAAATTCTTAGCGAATTAACAGTGAATGAATGCAACTAATTGCTAATTCATTTCATGAATTAATTTTGCGTGACTTCATCGTGTGTTAACTAAAAAAGTGCTCATGATGTGTGTGTTTCAGTGTTTAAAGATTTGAAATAGATGCAGGATCAAGTGCCGCGACATTTCTTTATTTCTTGACACTTGATCTTATTTTTATTTCAAATCTTTATTTCGTTTTTCTTTATCTTAATACGTTTGTCAACTTTTTTTTCTCGAAATTGGCTTTTCTACTCCCGCGTGCATTTTCGCGAAACAAAAATCGCAGACTTTGTATCAAAGGGTACTTTGCGTATTCCATCTTTCGCATTGTTTTGCTTGCGCGGTAAGACAAGACGTAAGGTGAAAGATGTAGCAATGCAGCATGCGAAATCTATTTAAGATTAGCCGATTTTCTAAGACAGCTCCAAGAAACATACAGAAGTCAATAAAAAATTAAAATCACTTTATTTTGATTCTTAATGTTAATAAACAATCAAATATTGTAATCAAAAATCATTATATTACTTTCATGATGTTGAAATAAAGTCACTATGACTTTTTCTTGACTCGATGTGTTCCTGGGACGTCATATACGAGCGACTTCTCCGTATCTTATGCGGAATGTCGATTGTGCAGAACGTTAATAAACGGCTACGCAGGGACTTTGCAGCTGTAACTGCAGCGACAGCAACTGCAACGGGCGCGACGACGGCGACGGTGCAGTCGTTCGAACGACTTCTCGCGCGCACGTCGGTGTTCAAGTTGGCAATTAAGAGGCTGTGTAACTAATACGGGTGCACGGACGCGTACACACGTACGCGGAAGCTGTTAATCTCATTTCGTCGTCCTGTATCGACCGTTTGAGCACGTTTTAGCCGGACGTTGACTGACCATTAACTCGAATACCGACGTGTCGCGGCTCCACTTGCCGTAGTCACCCCGGGACCACCCTGTCAAAGATAGATGAATCAAAATCAATTCGAGGGAATTCATTCTCGAAACTTGATCGCCAAACTCGGGAGCTTTCGAAGTGTTTGAACTTCTTCCTCATTCTCTGTTAATAATTTATTAATTAAATGAATAAGAAAGTAATTGATACGAGCCAATACGAGCCGACACTGGTTTTTAATGTGTAAATTACGTGTGTTCAATCGTAAGTAAACGTTTCGACCCCAATAATTTGAGTCATCCTCAGTACAATTCGAATCAAACAAGTGGACACATAAAATAAAATTAGCCTAAATTATATTTTATATAATATTCATTCAATTTTGAATACTTCGAATCGTTTTTATTAACAGTAACTCATCTTTTTAATCTGTCCATGTATTTATGTGCCACATCCTATAGTCAAACTTGATCTAAAATTGATGTTATAATCAGTGATTATTGTATAATATTTATGTCTCTCAGAGATTAACAATGTTATAAAGTATGATTGTCAAACGTGAATATCAGAGATTTATTCGTTTTCTATATTGTTATTAATTAAAGTGATGAAATGGAAATGATTATTCATATAATATTCAATGGAAATAAGAAGCCATATCATAAACGGCGCTTTAAATATAAGCTAAAATAGAATAAAGAGGGAAACAAGAACACAGGAATTCAGTAATAAAGTCAAATCCCGTTTCTCAGAAAGAGAGAGAGAGAGAGAGTTTGGAGATTCGTAAAATTTCTCGAAATGAATTCCCGAATTAATTCCTTTCGATTCGTCTCTTCTCATATGTGATCAATGATTTCTCTTTCTATGTTTTAGCATTATATATATGTATCTTGTTACATTTTAGCGTCAGACACAATGAGATATAAAGAATAAGATGATGATTAAGAAACGACTGATTCATTCTTATTATATTTCTTACATTTACTGATCACTCCTATATTTCACTGTGTCTTGATTCTTATAGCTGTTTGTGCCTTGCGATCTTGAATATTGGATACTCAATAACATACTTGCGTACATAACATACATCTTGATTACGCGCTCTGACTTCTTGACATGCATTTTGCATCGATTATGGATGGGATCGAAACTAACTCTACCTATTCTTCTTTCTGTCTTTCTACTTGTCTATCTGTACGTCTATTTACATCTATCCGTCTATTTTCAGCACAGGTTGCCTGATCTTTGAATTGCGCATCTATACTTGTGTATATATA